TACGAGGTTGGTCCATTTCATAAGTACGTTTTCCTCATTTTCTACATTCATAAATGAAAACCACAGTTGAATCTGCCCTAACGCCCACATGTCCGAGACAAACACTCTGCAAGCGACCACCTCCTATTCCCTCCCTTGCAATATTTTTCTTCTTAACAATGACTCTGACACTGTCCAAGATGTGAAACTGTCTTTGATAACAACTTTCCTACTCGAAAATGGATTGCCATCTAAACCATTTTCACCTTCTTTTTTTTTTTTTTTTTTTTTTTTTAGTGACATGAAATTTGGTACAACATACCATTATCTTTTGCTGTATCCAACATTATCACCGCCATAAGTTAACAATGCACTTTTGCTTTGCCTTTGTCGTAACCGACTGTCAAAGACAGTGACGTAAGTGACATTATCCAGATGCCTGGTTTCCTCTTTTGTCGCTAGTTTAATGTCTTTTCCTGCTTTGTCTTGGGGAAAGATGGAACCAACGGGAACCAGATCTGGTGAAAACCTTGGATGCTTCAACAATTCCCTAATGTAACAATCTGAAAGTTCGGCCACTATCATAGCTTTGTGGACGGAAGCGTTGACGCCAGATTCCAGCAGGCTTGGACGCTTTTTCTGAATAGCTGTTCTTAACTGTTCTTGTTAGGACCACTTTGTGGTACTGGATGCTAACAACAGTACCCCCTGCGACAGGCCATAGCAAAATTACATCTGTAGTGTTGAAGAAAACCATTGTGCATGACCTTCATTGATCCTTGTTTTCAAAGTGATTTTTTTTTTCAGTCGAGGATCATCAAAGTCTCTCAATTGTGCGGACAGTCTCTTCGTCTCAGAATTTCCAAGGGGTAAACTCTGGTTTCACCTCCAGATATGGTTCTGTCTACAAAAAATATGTTTTGCTATCTTTGGAACCTATGAAAAGATCCACAGTGAAACTGACTCTCGCATCCTGGGTGAGAAAAGGGAGCACATAATATTTGGAAAACATCTTTTTTTTTTTTTAGTTTGTCTGTCAGAATAAAAGAAAAAAAAACACACAAAAAACAACAAAAAACAAACTGTAGAAATTTACAATAATCAAATAATCGCATATCTCATATCTTCACAAACGCCATCCACTTTTCTCATATTTTCACAAATGTCATCCACTATTCTGACCATATCTTCACAATCGTCATCTGCTATTTTCATATTAATATGTTAACAAATGCCATCCACAATTCTAACAACTTTAAGAATATTGACATCACCACAAGCTGTGACAGGCCGTTCAGACCACATCTCATCAGCTGTGACTCCTCTCCTCTCCTCTCTTAAACAGCTTCCGTCCGTTGCCTCACTGCTTGAGCAGAAGGGGTACAATAATATATATTTCCCAGGGCAATCAAAGGGTATCTGTGCCTTTCAAAAAGTGACTAATTACACTGAGAAATTAAAAATTGCACGGCTCGAATGTCACCTCTAGAAGAAAAAAAATTTCTTTCGTGTCCCGAGTGGGTGTTTTGTCGGCCTTTGTGCAATGGAAGAGGTATAACAGAACATGCTGTGTCATTCAATGGTCATTCAATATTTTTTTGTGTGCAAAACTTTGCAAACCCATTTTTAAAGTAAAGAGTTGATGTGCACGTACCCCGAGTTTCATAGGAGTAGCTATAACGACATGAATTATAATGACAAGAAAAACCTATTTCTGAAATGAACTTGGTAAAAAGTAAAAACACACTAAAATGCGAAGGAAAAGAACAGTAAAATTTTTTAAATTAGATTGGGGTCTAGGCTATTTTGCATCCGTCTTCATTTTCAATTACTTTTCTTGCTTTCTCCACCACCGCCATTATAACCACCACCACAACCACCACCACCACCACCACCACCACCATCATCAT